CGAGGAGTCGCCAGACTGTGTTGTGTAACCTGTGAAGCTGAATTCACACTGCAGGTGAATAACCGCCCCGTGCTTTTATTTAAATACAATGTCTGTCTTGACCCACAGCATAAGGAATGGGAAATGAGCAACCCTGCTTATAAGATTATGCTACCACATGCTTTGTTGCTATGCAGGTAACATTTGCAATCTCAGTATAAAATCCCTGCTATATATTAACAGCCTCTTTTGTTATTGTTTGGAATTAATCTGCCAGTCATTGCTGAACCCTTGGATGCCAGTGCAATTATTCATAAATAAATTGTCCCAAAGAAAAGACAGAAATTGTGACATTTTTCCCTGCCTGACTGTGAATTATGGATAAGCATTGAACAATAAGAGATCAGCAAATTAGAATAGGGCTTCTCTTTGAAATTATAACTTGGTTCATAGCCAGGGCCCCAGTTCATAACTTAATTTTATTCAGACATTTTAGTTAATTTCCTCTTCAGAGTTTTGCATAATGCCATTGAGATATCTCTGTTTTTATGGATATTTATGCAGAATGTTACAGTTCTTATAAAAGTTGTGATTTAGCCAGCTACCAACCTGTCTAGATTTTTGTTGTTCTTTTTAGAAATGTATTGAACATTCAAATTTATCTTAAGATGTCTCAATTTCCTTATTATAACATGGCACTCAGGATCAGACAGCATATTGACTAGCAGCAAGTTGTCTCTGCTGTGTCTTATTTTGGAAAACTGGTGCAAATATTTAGGGCCCCTTGAAGAAAACTCACAGAGTACAGTACAACACTTTTCTTCTTGTCGTCAGTTCCAAAAAAGTAGAGTCTTGAGAAGATATTTTTTTCTCTTCAGCAAGTAAGAGATATGCAGTGTCACCCCCGCCTGCAAAAATAACCCTATGCTCAACCCCTTACGTATCTAAACAATCATTTTACTCAGGGGAAAATATTTGTGCTATCATTCCTGACATAATGTGATGATTCCTGACAACTTCACAAATATCACGCACATCTTTCCTATCAAATAAGGAGGAAAGATAACACAAATCGTTTATTTATGTGGAGGGGTGTTTATATATGGAGCTGTGATTTACTTGAGGTTTGCAGGCAGAAACAAAACCATGCCTCTACCATGCAAAAGGACCACTGAGTCCCATCAATCCCTGAGATGGAATCAGAACATCAACATTTCAGTACCTAGGAGAAAGCTAGATGACCTCTACATACAAAACTGCTAACTCCTAAATTTAGCTTTTCTTTATCGTCAAAAAGAGCCATACTTCCCCCACCCTGCAAATGAATTTTAATATTTGCTCAGTGTTGCTAAATACCATACCATTTAATTCCCTTGGCTCAGTCACGTTCATAACCAGTTGATCATTTAATCGCAGGAATAATGTTATCTCTGACATCTTCAAAGCAGTCCTTTTCATTTAATGTTGCATTATAATGCCTCTTTGAAAATTGCCCCGAATTATAGACTTGACATTTCCTCATTAGAGATTAGATGTATAATGAGTTTATCTGCTGGAACATTCAGGGTCTAAAGAGAAAGTGTCATTCCTGATGCAGCCAAACACCAAGAGATTAACCGGAACGGCTGCATTTTAGCAATCACACTTAAATGGAAGATCATTTAATTCTGAGCATCCATACACTCTTTTTTTTCATAAACTCTTTTCCTGAAATCGTGAACAAGATGTTTCCACTTTTTTTCCTCTACTCCTTAAGCATGTACTTTGAAATGCTCTGTGAGGTGTTTTCCCCCCAGATATTTTACAAATGTGTATCTCCTTATCCCTTTTAAGTTTCAGTATTTTACTGCAAAATGCTACCCCACACAGTATCCTTTTATCTGTTCACTGGCTATACTGTAAAGCACAAGTTTGACATACACAAGGTTCCATGTTATCTGGACATTGTAGAACAGAAAACGAATGTCACAGATATGCAAGCATTCCGTCACAGCATTTCTACCCCAAATATGTCATGAATGAACTCTACATGCACGATTACCATCCTCTACTATTGTCAAGAGGCTTTGTCTCCAAATTGCCCCAAACTCTGATCCCAAGAGTTTTCCTAAGATTTTTACGGTTTTCAATATTGCATGCTAGTATATGTCAAGCTGCTGTCATTATGTATAATAGATAGGTCACAGGCTTCCAAGTCTGGTAGTTCTTTTTTCTTCTACAGCAATTAAAAAGAAAATGTAATCTTTTTCTAAAATTATTTTGAAACCCAAAATGAATCTATTCTATACTCACCTTATAGCTAGTCACAGAAGCCTGGCTGTTGTGCATGTGTTATTGGAATTGCTCAGACAGGTATATGAATGTACTGCCTTGCTGTGCATTAATTACAGTAGTTTGTAACACATTTGCCCTAACCCACTCCTGTGCAGGGGGGCAGGGGGGACCTACCTGAATGAATCTGAAAGCCAGTGCTGAACCTGGTCTTGAGAAAAAGAGATTGTTTTCTGAACTGCTTTACTTTTTTTTCCTTTTCAGAAGCACAGTGTAAACCGTACTACTCTGATTATTCTCGCTTCCGACTTCTGATTCACCAAATGTGCACCACCCATTACCTGGATTTATTCATCACAGGTGTGATTGGCCTCAATGTCATCACCATGGCTATGGAGCATTACCACCAGCCCAAGGTAGGATAGAAGAGTATTGATCAATGGTGGATATTAGCATCATTACAAGAAGGAATTAAAATTGCATCTCTGTTAATTAAAATTGGCAGTGAATTCACTACCACACTAAGTTGATGGAGAGATCTTTACTTTCTTCCCTTGGATGGCAGTGGGGATCAGACGCTCAGTTCTTTAGTTCTTATTTAAGTACATACTGTCCATGGAATTTTAGTCAAATATAATTGACTCCCTCCCTCCCCCCCATCTCTCTCTCTCTCTCTCTCTCTCTCTCTCTCTCTCTCACACACACACACACACACACACACACACACACACACTGTCAGGCCTGGAAGCCATCTTTTGCATTGGGCCTTCCAGTCTGCCACATTAAGTGCTGTGGGAAAATGAGAAGGGGGGGGATTATATGGAGTATGGGAGTATGGGAGATACAGTATATAGTCATAATAAAATTCCTTTCTCAGAGAGACAAGGAGATCTAGCCCTACACCTGGAGAGGTATGAGTGGGAGACATCTCCAGTTGGGACAGGGCCTGATTGGGCCATGTGAGGGGCATGTGGGTGCTGGGGCAGGGGCTTGGACTTTCACTTGGGTGGGGAAAACCTGAAAGCAATCAGATTCTGGTTTTCCCAGATGTGGCAATATGACATCTCTAATAAAATGGAACTTTGAGGAACTTCAAGCCTCAGAGTCTTCTTCTGTTTGGGGTGTTACTTGGAACACACACACACACACACACACACACACACACACACACACACACACACACACACACCTTACCTTTTA